ACTAAAATACAAACACTCATTTTTCCTACAACTGCGTGAATCTTGAAGTATGTTTTCTTATCAATACTGAAACTGGCTTCTTTAATGCGAACGATGGGTGTTTTGATCTTTGAGTAGATTTAAAAGGGTTTAGAGAATTCGAGATTTTCAGTAATCAGGATTCAATTAAAAACGAGGTGGCCTAGATTACATTACTGAAACCCAAGGCTTTATTTGATGATAATAACGGCGGAATAACATTCAGTATCATGATCTCGATTTGGGTGGAAAATTATATTTTAAACTGAAATTCAATCGCCGAAAACCTATTCTCGACTTTTCATGACGTTGACAAGGGGATCATATCTCAAGAAGAATGCTCGAAAATTATTCAATGCGCATGTCAAAGGTAATTTTCGAGACGCGAAATTACTATTAATTAAACACTTTTCAAATGCTTGACTTTTTGTATCTTGTTCGTCTACAATAGAATTTTAACGAGCTTCTTTTAACTCTTCACAAGATATTGTCCTTCAATTTCAAAACTCAACACACTCGCTTTGAAATCCATGTTTTCATAAAAATAATGCCACTATTTTCCTGTTGTGGACAAATCACTTCAGCTAAAAATCAAAATTAATCTGCTACAGTCTATTGTTCTAGCACAGTCGGATTTGGGGTTTTTAATTATATTTTGAAATGTACTTGCGTCAGAATGCAAAAGCGACAGTATTTCTTTTTATTATTGAGATCAGTCTAAGGTAAAATTGGAAAAGTCCGACCGACATGAAGGTAAAAAGTAAACTCAGCCGGCAGAATTATAACTATATTGGTTTTTCCAATTTCTCTTAAAATGCGAGTGTTCATAAAGTAATGTCTTGAATGGAAAAAACTCTTATATCAATGAATTTTTTATCTTAGGGCAATTAGATGCTCGTTCAAAAGTTTTGAATTTTTGTGCGCGTTGGATTCATCCACCGGAAAAATCATCGGACCAAAATAAAGTTCTGATAAAGACCAGGAAAGAAAAATATCGCTATTTTGTAAGTATGTTGGTTATGTCTTCGTAAATTATCACTAGATAAGACAGTTAGGAAGAGCAGATCTTAATAACAGATTATTTTTGAACATGCAGCAACAAACAAATGTCTGAGTGAAGGGTAGTAATCTGTCTGTTGGGACGTCAACATATCGCTATTTTGTAAGTATGTTGGTTATGTTTTTGTAAATTATCAGTAGATAAGACAGTTAGGAAGAGCAGATCTTAATAACAGATAATTTTTTGAACATGCAGCAACAAACAAATGTCTGAGTGAAGGGTAATAATCTGTCTGTTGTAACGTCAAGTAATATTTGGCAATTTAGTTTGAAATTCATGTCTCCAGTTCGTGTGTATGTAAACCAAAATTTGGAGCTTTATGAGTGGGTCCAATGAAACTGGTGCAACTGTGGTGTGACAAATCTTCTCAAAAATTCTTGTCTCTTTCGATTAATCATTTACACTGATCCAGTAACACCCAGCAGTGTTTTAAAAATTAAGGTGGCTGACAACTATTTTGTATATAGTTTTGTTACTTTTCAAAACTGTTGAAATTGAGCATGCTGATTACAAGTCGATCACTCAATGCGCGGCAATATGGAGATCACAGAAATTGTTTTGGAGCCAGTATCAACCTCTGGCTTAAAGGTGGCATTGTTGTTATGGCAACCAGTCCGGTCAAGTGGTTAGTATGAGTTTTAGCATCTACTCGTAAAAAGATGGTTAAAAGTGTTGCAAAATATGATCACTCTTGTGTGCCAATCACGATAAACATTTCATTACCTACGTACATGAATTAAGTTTAAAAAAATCCACTTGCATAGTAAGGAATGGTTTCGTAGTGTAGTGGTTATCACGTCTGCTTTACACGCAGAAGGTCGCCAGTTCAATTCTGGCCGAAACCATGCTTTTTTTAAAACCAATACTCTTTGTTATCTTTTGTTCCATGTTTAATCTTGAAGAGAGAAATTCTCATTTCCTGACTCAGCTGGAAATTAGCAAAATCAGCACGCGACGTGCGTCCCATTTTATTGCATTCGTTAAGTACAGTGGAAACTCCACCAACGGCCACCTCTCTACAACGACCATTTTTTTGGTGGACAGTCCATACATTCACTATTGTTTCAACCTCTCTAAAACGGCCACCTCTCTACAATGGCCACTTTCTTTGCTTCTACACATTAATAAATAGTTTTATGCCAGCTTTAACCATAGGAATCGTTCGGTACTGTTTTTATCTGACTATTTTCTATTCTGAGAAATTCTCAACTTGAGTCTGACGTTTGCCGTTTGCGGTAAATGTGAATCTTAATCTCTCTATTTTTTAAGTGAACACTCTCTCTTAGGGCGCTTTCCAAAAGTCAGAACTGATCGGCTGGACCATAGTCGGACCAGTCATTTTGACAATGAAGAATGCTTTTTTCCAAGAGTTTTTGTTGAAACACCATCCCCTTCGTGCATGCTATTTAGGATTTGACTGATCTGACTGGATAGTTTTGATAAAAAGTGAAATTCTCATTATGACTGGAATGGTCTGGCCGGTTAGTTCTGACAAATGGAAAGCGCCATTAGATTACAATTTGTCACTATAGAAACGAAAAGGAGTCTGGGGCGAGTTAACTTTCGCAAAGGGGCATGGGAAAAAATTGGCCAATAGCTGACCGGCACGTCCCAAGTAACGATCCCAGAATTAATTGCGGGACGCATTTCGGCTCCAGTTCCCCTCTTTTAAAATTGTTTACAAAGTAGCTAATTAGAGAACCCTTACAAGGGGCGGACAGAAGGAGTAACCTGGCTTGATATTTGCTCGGTAATCTATTTTTAATCATGGTTTACTGCTGATCCGTTTGAAGTTGGCGTGATCCTAGTTATTATTTTGCGTTCTTGTGTATTCTCTTGAAAAGTTTTAACACGATTTTATCCTCTAATTTATATCATAAGAGCCGATTTTAAATCGAAAAATCCCGAAGCTTCCATGCTATTAATAGTCACCTTCGAATAATTAGTTCGAAGAAAGCTTTAGAGAATATAAACGTTGCAGCAGATAACTTTCGAAAATTTTCGGTATTCACTGCGCCCTGTGCGCGCCGGTCGGCTTGTGGTTTCTCTAATTTCTTTTTCCTTTTTTTTTGTCAGCAAAAACGATTAGTTACATGAGAAATCAGGCAATAAACTTGGTACGATTAGCGGAAAGAGCGTATAAGATCTTTTTATGCGTCATCAAAGAATTTTGAATTATATTACCTTTTTTTAAAAGGAAAAAGAGAAGTCTCTCAAACGAATAAGGGAAAACCTTTCCGTTTTTTCTTTTTCTTACGTTGAACATCCGTTCCCAGATAATAAAAATGCAAAGATACAGATGGTAATACTAAAATGGTTTATGTGTTAAATACATCTACTTATGACAGCGGAAAGTTAGTCGCATATATTAAAAAGGGGGAACTTTAAATGTTTTTAATTCGAACTCTTCACATGTATCAATTGGCTTAGTTTCTAATTTATATTCGAAGGAAAATTAACTATACCGACACAGAAAATATTATGGTGTTAAATAATCGATCGGACCAATAAAATGTGGGCTAACTGGTTTAACAATATAACAGCTAGTGAAAAAACGGAAGGCACATAACGCAGGTGGTCTTACTGTTAATCTCATGNACTTTCGAAAATTTTCGGTATTCACTGCGCCCTGTGCGCGCCGGTCGGCTTGTGGTTTCTCTAATTTCTTTTTCCTTTTTTTTTGTCAGCAAAAACGATTAGTTACATGAGAAATCAGGCAATAAACTTGGTACGATTAGCGGAAAGAGCGTATAAGATCTTTTTATGCGTCATCAAAGAATTTTGAATTATATTACCTTTTTTTAAAAGGAAAAAGAGAAGTCTCTCAAACGAATAAGGGAAAACCTTTCCGTTTTTTCTTTTTCTTACGTTGAACATCCGTTCCCAGATAATAAAAATGCAAAGATACAGATGGTAATACTAAAATGGTTTATGTGTTAAATACATCTACTTATGACAGCGGAAAGTTAGTCGCATATATTAAAAAGGGGGAACTTTAAATGTTTTTAATTCGAACTCTTCACATGTATCAATTGGCTTAGTTTCTAATTTATATTCGAAGGAAAATTAACTATACCGACACAGAAAATATTATGGTGTTAAATAATCGATCGGACCAATAAAATGTGGGCTAACTGGTTTAACAATATAACAGCTAGTGAAAAAACGGAAGGCACATAACGCAGGTGGTCTTACTGTTAATCTCATGGCGCAATTTTGAATTTCTAATGAGCTTCATGGGTTGCTACCTAATGTATTTTTCACAGACCGCAAATCCTCTGGAAATTAAACTCGGCATAGACCTCAAGCAGCCAGCAACATCTGAAAGACAAAGGCAATTTTCGAACGGTTTTGTCATTTGGATGAAAGTGTTTGGTTTAGTATTGTTTCTTCAAATCAGTTTTACCGAGGTCAAATATTTCCTGGGACAACTGGCAAGTACTGTTGAGAATATACTAGCAGGGACTGTTGCGTTTTAAGTTTCAGCATCCAATGGCCGTGAGCATGGTTAAAGAAGAAGCGAAGCCAACGGTCTTTTGCTCGCGGAATGAGAACCACAGACGTCGACAAAGACAACGAGTGACTTTTAAAAGCAAATGCAGAGATGGTTTCGTCACGATAAATGTGAGCGGTCGAAGATTTCAAGTGGAAAACGACATCTTCGAGAAATACCCAGGTAATCTTTAAAATATCCATACCGTATTTGTGAAATCGAACCAGCCATTTTTGTCCATAATGTTGGACGGTCTTCGTCAAGAACCACATTTTCTTTTCTCTAATTTTTTTTATAACTTAGTTCTATATTTTAGTACTTGAAGTTTAATTTTATCAGCAAGGTTAAAGTTGACTGCTAAGAAGTTTATCTCTGCAAAATCTTCTTAGTATTGCAGTAATTATAACATATACCATTTTTAATTTATTATCGTAAGCGCCCGACTGTAAACGGGATAAAGTAAGAAGCTCTAGAGCTTAGCCTTTGTAGGAGCTTAAAATTTACTGCAAAAGTCGACTAAATCCAAGATTAAAACAGAAAAAAAAATTACATGGTTCAGGATCTAAGGTTTGCCGGACAAGTACTTTAAAAATAAAATGTAAATAAATGTTTTATATGAAACTATGCTATGCGTTACTTTTAGTCCCTACGCATGCATACGTCAATATGGGAGGTAACCGTTTAAAACACCGAGGGTTATTCGAAATAATGTTCAGATGAATAATGACAGAACCGTTCGTTTATTTTGATATTTATGTTAAAAAAGGGTATTTTGACAATAGAAAATTTATAAATATTAACAACAATAAATCATTTAGGGACCGCCGCTGTGTTTGGCTGACACTCAGTAGCAAAGTTAATTACTTCGTACTCTCTTTTTGGAAGGAGATTTTCCATGGCCGATTGGCTGTTTTTAATTTTTTTCGCTATTGAAATGATATTACACCGTACGGAGGTACAAGAAAAACAAACCAAATGGTGACCAAATGGGATCCTGTTTCAAGAATGAAAACAAAAATACTTCTCGAAAATGCCAAGTTGAAGGCCATGTATACCGTATAGTAAATTTCGGACAGAGCTTTTATTTTGGTTTTATTAACAGAAAAGAGAGAGAGATAACGAGGGGAATCGGATAAAATTTGCTATTATAGCTTTCCTTTTATGGAGGAAAAGCTCAAGAATTACAAGTCAAAGTTTCCAGCTTGAAAAACTTCAACTTAAAGACATTCTGATGGTCGTTGATTTTTGTGTGTGTGTCGAGATAGAAGCATTCGGGCCGAACATTTTCGAGTCACGGAACCAAAAATGACTTAGTAAACCAGCTCAACAATACAGTGATGAACGCTAAAAAATGAGGTCGAGATAAAATAATTTTTTACCTTACAGTATAATAGCTTTTTGAAACTGAAATTGTTCGTAATCTCGAAATCCGGGTCTCGAACTTTAGGATCTGCCTGGATTGTCGACTCCGTAACCCTGGATCCTGGTTTTAGCCAAACAGTGTTGACTTTTTTGCTTTCTTTCAGATACATTGCTGGGAAGCAGAAGACGAGATTCCTTCTTCGATGATAAAAGGAATGAATATTTCTTTGATCGCGACCCCGAACTTTTCACCTACATAATTCAATTTTATCGTAAGGGAACTCTGCACTGCCCTGAAGATGAATGCGCGTGCAGTTTCAAAGGTGAGCTGGACTTTTTCGGCATTGTAAATAATCACTTGGGAGATTGCTGCTATGAGATTTTCCAAGAAAAACACGACGATTTTCTGGACTATCAAAAGCGCCACGCGAAAGCCGAGGACACAGATTTCGTCCCTAGGACAGTCAGGCAAAAGATGTGGAAGCTGTTCGAAGATCCGGAACAAAATGTCTTGGGATTGTTAATACACTATACTTCTGCGGTATTGATATTAGTAAGTGTGGTAGCCTCAACTGTCGAGACATTAAAATGCGGACAGCAAACATGTGGAGACAAATATTCAGAGCAATTCTACATTGTGGAGTCAACTTGTGTCATAGTTTTTACTGTGGAATACCTAGCGAGATTATATGCTGCGCCAAACCGATTCCAATTCATGAAACAGTTCTTAAGCATCATCGATGTCATCGCTATAATCCCGTTTTACGTTGCGCTGATTTTTCCAGACGCCGCTGGTGGCCCTTTCACGGTACTTCGCGTTTTTAGAATTTTCCGAATCGTTAAAATGTCGCGGCATAATACCAAGGTTCGGGAGGCCGGATCTTCTCTTCTAGCTAGTCTATCCGAACTAAGCTTCGTGTTTGTGGTGCTAACGACTCTTGTCATATTGTTTTCAACTATTATATACTACGCTGAGATGGGGGATGAAGATACCAAGTTCGTCAGTATCCCAGCAACGTTTTGGTACGTCATTGTCACCATGACAACCCTAGGGTGAGTAGCAACCTTACGTGAGGCCGATAATTCCTTTTGTAAAAGCATCTGTTCTCCAAAACGGAGAAAGGAGTGCTATTGAAAGTCCACGAGAACATACAACAAAGGGGTCAGACGGGCTTCATAACCATTCCGCTCTATTAGCTATGTATAAGAAGTCCAGACAAGGATTTGAGGTCACACCTGGGAATCGATTTCGGATCCTTCCGCCCAGAGGGCCGCACACTAAACGGCTGTGTTAATCCTTGCTCCTATTGAAATCTATAATAAGCAAGGTTCTAAAATCTTATGTGAATACGACATTCGCATGATGGCGTCATTTTGCTACCTAAGGGCCTGTTTACATGGAGGTGGGGGACCCCAGATAGGTGAGGTAACATACCGCGGGTCACCCCACCTATCATGTAAACGTGATCAAATATGTGGACAGGCCGGTTACCCACCAAAGCGGGTGACCTCACCTACCTGGGGTTCCCCACCTCCATGTAAACAGGCCCTAATACTACTACTACTGCCAGAATCCTTTAGCGTTTTGCTTTCTTGTGCAAATTAGGGCTTTTATTATTAAAACCTCACTGGGATTACCAAAATTAAATATGAAAGAAAAACAAAATAAATTCTGGTCGTAGCAGTAAAAAAGACGTCATAGCGCAAATGGCCTATTTGTTGATCAACGCATAGTTAGCAGAGGAGATACAATTTCAAAAAAGTCCTTCGTCCGATTTAAAAAGTTCGCTCCGCGAGCTAAGAAACTCGTGAGGTCGACATGTAGCAAGTCTATAGAGGAGACTGGTTATGAAAGCCACCAACATCAAGTTTGAAAACAACGGTAAAAAAAGTTCCCTGACCGTGCACAGTCCTTTGTTTGTTTGTTTTTTTTCACAAAGTGTGGCTGAATAAATTAATGAATTGTTTCTATTGGTCAGTAAGATAAAAATGATAGGAATGCTATGGAACGTCGTGCACCATCAAGTCTAAAAAAGCCAGTAAAAACATAAACAAAGAAGTCTAAGGGGTTTCATAACCATAAATAACTAAGATCAATGTCCGTGTTTGCTTTAGGTATGGTGATATGACGCCCTTCAGCTTGATCGGTCGACTGACTGGAATCGTCTGTTCGCTGAGCGGTATCATGGTCGTTGCGTTACCAGCACCGGTTCTGGAAAAGAACTTCAACCGAAAGAAAGAAGAAGGTAGACCGGATAAAGAAGATAAAGAGAAAACTGGCCACTCAAAACACTCCAGCCATGTTTCTACTTCGAAATAACTTAGCAAAGAAAGAACTTCAATCGGAAAATGGTAAAACGTTAAAACTCTGGAACTATGTGAAACAACAAATGCATATAAATAATGCTTAAATTAGGGACGAGAGAAGTGGCTTCCTCTTGAGGTACTTTCATCTGATATGTCAATTAAGGTGATTCACTTGTAGTTGATTGGAAGGGGAAT